AGAACTGACCACGTGTGGGCCCTCTCCCCTCCGCGTGATGGAAGGGAGCAGACAGATGACCTGGTCGTCATAAAGGAGCGGCCGCTGGCAGCTGCACTGTGGTCTCTGAGGCTGAAAGCGCAGGGAGGAAAGCTGCAGGGAGTGTGAGGCGTGGTAGGGTTTAGGGGAAGAGAGGGCACATGGAAGGGCGATCAGAATCCCCCTGTGGCCATCTCCCACTGAATTTCGCATTGGACCTTTGCCCTGGTGAGAGGTCAACTTTCCTTATGTCCGTTTGTCACGTCTTATCCACTGCAGAACATAGACTAACTTTTCACCTCTTGATGGGATGCCCCATGTAAAGACCTCAGCAGCTCCTGTTCTCTGCTGGGCAGTGAGCCCTCTGGGCCTGGCCTGCTCTTGGGGCACCCAGCAGCAACCCCCGGTGGGCACTGGTGGAGGGGAGTGCAAGATTCCTGCGCAGGTCAGTGCCATCATCCCAGTGGTTCCACTTCATCCGATCTCTTGCAAACTGCTTCCTCCCTCAGAGTCTCTATCCTCACTCCTCCTCTCCCAGAAGCCTGCCCCAGGGTTTCCCGCATTAGCCCCCTTGGGATCTTTGAGCTTTCAGCACATGGCTCTTCCTGGAGACCTTCCCTCACCCTGCTCCTGCACTTTCAGGCTATCACTGCCCAGAGGAGCAGCAGGAGGCAGGAGAGGTCTGCTGCACCCGGGGGATCAGCTCCCTGGCTGGGGATCGGACTCAGGCTGCAGTGGCTGAGACAACCCTTGCACCACCAGGGAGGCCCTGTCCCTATCATTTTTTTGAAGGACAATAGCCAATATGTTGAGGATATGGAGAAAATGCAATTGTACATTGTTGGTGGGATGAGCACAGTCGCTGAGGAAACAGCTTGGCTGTTCCTTACAAACTTAAGCAGAATTACGTATCACTTAGAAATGTTGCTGTCGGTGTTTCGTCAAAAAAAAATGAAAACATACCCACATAACAACATGTACACGCCACTCCTAGAAGATGCAAAGTGAAAACACCCCCAATGCCCGTAATTGATGGGGGCCTAGACAACAGGGGAGGTCATGTGATGGAATATTAGTCTGTTGTAAAAAAGAATAAAGCCTTGACACATGCTACAACGTGGGTGAACCTCGAAATGTTATGCTCGTGAAAGCAGCTGCCATAAAAGGTTCTGAAAGGCATTAAAGGTAGGACCCCTTCTGCGGAAAATACCCAGAATGAGTCATCTGTATGCCTCTTTGTGCTCTAGGAGAAACTCATCACACAACAGTGAAAACTCAAATCAAAAACTAGTCCCTTAAAAAGCGGTAACAGCGGAATGTTTATGGTTTCACTGGAGGCTGCAAATACACGAAAGGACGGTGGCAGTCGCATCCCTTTTATTCTCCAATCCTGACCCCCAGCAGATCCCATCAGTCTTTCTTAACTTTGCTTTGCTTGTTTTCTTATTCTTTTGCGTTAACAAAAGGATTGTATTTCTTTGTTTCAATTTGGATGTTTCTGATTACTAGTGGGGTTAACTATTTCTTTTCAACTTTAATGGACCTCTTACATTTTCCTCGGATAAACATCTTTGCATATTCTTTGCCCATTTTTCCACTGGGACATTTTTTCTTACCAATCTACAGGAGTGATTTATTATATTTTGGACGTCAGCCCTTTGTTAAGACTGCAAACGTTTTCTCCCCGAGTGAGGGCTGGCTTGAACTTCTGACTCTATAATGTTGCCTCTATAACGTAGCGTCTGACTCCCGCTACTGACCTGGCGATTTGTCAGTTCAGCGCAGGGTCGGGGTGGGGAAACCGCCCGCTGGGCTTCCCGGACGATCCCGGGGAAGGAGGCCTGCGTGGCTTCCCTGGGCCTATGCCCACCAGTGAGTCCCTGTCCCTCTTCCAGGGCAACAGCTGTAAGAGCGTGAAGGGTGAGGGGCAACCAGAGGCGGCCGGTCGCTGTGAAGGCTGGCG